ACACACACACACACACACACACACACACACACACACACACACACACACAAGCTTTTGTTCCATGCCTCCTCCTACCCACCCCATGCCTTTGGGGTGGTCCCCAGCAGGGCTGTGCAGATCCAACTTTCGCTCTGGGTGTTCCCCATTGGGTGGCTGTGCTCACTCTTCCCCATCCTTTGGGGTCTGATCTGTGCCTTAGTGTCCTCTTATCCATCCAGACGATGCACGCTGTACCCCTCCATCCTCACTGATATCTGCGTCCTTCCAGCATCCCCTCCTGCTGTTCTCCCCTTATCTGTGAGGTTTTTGGGGTGGCACCGCTTGTGGATTCCTTCTGTCCCTGCCTGGCCCTGGCAGAAGGGCTCATCTCAGAGCCAGCCCTCCGCCTGTTTGCCTTGGCATCCCGGGCAGGATTTGCACGTGAGCCCCTGGAGACAACAAGCAGCTCAGCTCTAATCCTCTTGGCTTCAGCGCCCGGCTCCCCTTGTGCTGCTCACGGCCTTGAGGCTCGCACCATGCACACTCTGTGGCTGCAGTGCAGGAGCTGCTGCTCTGCACTCCTCGGGTTTTTTCCACCTAGAGGAGCTCCGGGTGCTGCAAGTCCTTGAGCGACTCCCAAAAATGTGCTGGGAGAAAAGCAGGTGAGCGGTGATGGATGTGCAGAGGATTGAGTGTGCCATGCAGCGAGCGTGCAAGGTGGGAAGTGCACAGGGTGATGACCAAGCGGTGCGTTGCACATGATGATTGTGCAGTGCAACAAGCATGCAGGGTGGTGAGAGTGCCACACAACGGGGATGCAGAACGATGAGCGTGCAAGGTGAGGAGAGAGTGACCGTGCATAGGGACGAACAGGCAAGGTGATAAGCACATAAAAGGATGACCATGCAATGTGGTGAACGTGCCAGGCAAGCATGCCATGCAGTGAGCATGCAATCTGCTCAACATGCAGTACAATAAGCATGCAAGAGGGTGAGCGTGCAACGCTCGTTTGCTTTGAGGTCTTTGCCAGCCCCAAAGCTGCTGCTTTGCTCATCAAACTTCAGGAGCCCTGCATGATGCGTGGGATAGGTGGTCAGCCCCACTTGCAGCCTGGTTTTGCAGGACAGGGTTTGGGGCTGCTGTTGGGTTTCGGAGGTGCTGCTGTGCTTTGAGAGCAGGATAGATTCTGTGCCCCCGTCCCAGGAGGCAGCCGCTCACACTATGATTGCCATTGATGGCGTTATCTTTATTGTGGTTTTCTCCTGCTCCATTGGGTAATGGGGGGACGCACCCCAGCTTCTTTATGGCTTTATGGCACTGCAGTGAAGGACGTGGGGGCACGATGCTTATCGGGCTGTGGACTCCAGGCACAGCATGTGCCCGTTTACAGGTCCATGCTTTGTGTTTTCTATGACTGAAAGTGGGGGCTGGGTGGGCCAACCCTACGTGGTTCCTCCTGTGCACAGCGTCCTGTGTGGCGCAGCTGTCCCCAGGAGCACCCGCGGTGCCCGGCTAGGGTGCAGCTGGGGCCAACCCAGCAGCACTCCTTGTTAATGGTTAATGGGGCCACGCTATCGGCGCTGCCATCAGCTGGGAACGCGCTGTTCCACGCCGCCTGTTTGCTCTCAGCCCCATCTCCCGCAGGGCTCTCCCTCGGGCACGGGGCCGGCTGGGGTGCTGCCACGTGGGGCATCCCTTGGGGGTGCCCCAGAGCCTGGGAAGGGACAGGAGCACACACAGTCCCTTTCCCCTCGCCCCCATTATTCCCAATCCCCTGGGTGGTTTCGGCCATCTAACGTCTCCCTGGCCTCGCAGAGGTGGAGGTGGGGACACCGCAGGACTCAGAGCCCATCGTGCCACCATCTCGTGGGTCCCCCCCGCGCTCAGCCCTTTATCAGCTGTCAGCATCAGCGGGGCGATGGGTTTGCTGATAAGGAGTGTTTTCTTCCTCCCGTGCGAGAGACAAAAAACAACAGCGCCGTGACCTGCAGGTGCCCTGGGACAAGGTCACGTCCCTGTGGGGTCCCTGTATGGCCGTCCCCAGCCATCACAGTGCTACCATTGGCTCTTGCAGGCTGTGACTCAGGCTTTGGGCAGGCGACAGCGCGGCACTTGGACTCCTTGGGCTTCCGTGTCTTCGCCAGCGTGCTGGATCCACGTGGCCCTGGCGCTCAGGAGCTGCAGAGGAGCTGCTCGGCCCGGCTCACACTGCTACGCATGGACCTCACCAAGCCTGAGGACATCCAGAGTGTTCTGCAGCACATCCAAGCCCACACCAATGGCACAGGTGGGAGCTCGTGGCATCCCCATACAGCCCCTCCTCTCGTGTCCTATCCATGGATGCATCACAGAAATCCCTTACAGCCCCCCAGGACCTCCACTGGTGTCCCCATCCATGGATACATCCGTATGGGCCACCAAGTTGGCTACAGCCATGCCAAAGATGTAATCCCAATGCTCCCTATATAGGGCTCCTGTGGGTGGGAGCAGCTGGTGCCCCCTGAGCACAGTGCTACCCCCAGTATCTCCACTTGTGTCCCCATCCATGGTTACATCCCGGGAACTCCATACAACCCCAGGACCTCCCATCCATGGTTGCCTCCTGGGAACCAACCAACCCATGCAGGTCCTCCACTTGTGTTCATGGGTACCTTGCTATGGGCCACCACCTTGGCCATGCCAAAGGGTTTGTCTTGATGCTCCCCACATAGGGCTCCCATGGACAGGGGAACCATCTAAGCCCCCCAGCACGGTGCTATCCCATTTTTCAGAGCACCCCGTCTCCCGCAGGTCTCTGGGGCTTGGTGAACAACGCCGGTTTCAACGACATCATTGCCGACGCCGAGCTCTCTCCATTGGGCAACTTCCGCACCTGCATGGAGGTGAACTTCTTCGGCTCGCTGGAGCTCACCAAGGGGCTGCTGCCCCTCCTGCGCTCCGCTGGTGGCCGCATCGTCACCGTCAGCAGCCCAGCAGGTGAGCAGCCCCATGGGACACAGGGATGTGGGGCTGGGAGCCCCACCGGGATGCACCAGCTCTGAAGCACAGAGGGTTCAGGTGCACAATGAGCATCGCTGCTTGGGTTTTTGGTACCCATAGGCGTTGTGCAGAGTAGAGTTGAGCCACGGGGTGCTCGCTGTGCATGTGTGAGAGCCGTGGGTCTGTGCTTCTCCCTACAGGTGACCTGCCCTTCCCCTGCCTGGCAGCCTATGGGGCGTCGAAGGCTGCGCTCAGCCTGCTCATGGACACGTTCCGCAGTGAGCTGCAGCCCTGGGGTGTCAAAGTCAGCCTCATCCTGCCCGGGTACTTCAAAACAGGTGAGAGAGGGGCAGCCCCAGCCACTGTCCTGGGATTATGGCTGGAATCACAGCATTATGAAAGTCGGAAAAGACCTCCAAGATCACAGAGTCAAGCTTCAACCCATCCCCACCACCCTTGGGCTCTCCCTTTCACAACACCCGCTATCACTCCCACCTCACGGCCAACCTCCACTGGGTTTTAGAGGGACCATACTGGCAGGTGCTCCCTTCTCTCCCTATGGGCACCCCTATGAGCATGGGCCACCTGGGATGGGGCTTCTGGACCACACGCATCTCACACGGTCCCCCTCTTTCGCAGCCAACTGCGACCCAGACTTCTGGAAGCTGCAGAAGGAGCAGCTGGTGGCCCGCCTGCCCCGGGAGCTGCTGCAGGCTTACGGCGAGGACTACGTGGAGGAGATCAACCGGCAGTTCATCCAGTTCATGAAGGTGGCCGTGGAGGACCTGAGCGCGGTGGTGAACAGCATCACGGACGGGCTGCTGGCTGCCAACCCGGCCGTGCGCTACTACCCAGGGCAGGGCCTTGGGCTCATGTATTTCATCCACCGCTACCTGCCCTATTTTGTCCAAGACTTGTTCCTCAAAGGATTATTCATCAACCCCAAGCTGCCCCGGGCGCTGCGGCCGGAACACAAGGACGCCAAGAAGCCCTGACCTCAGCCGCGTGCAGGGCAGCAATCAGCACTAGATCTAAAACCAAATCGCTTTTCCCAAATCAGGCAGATGCAGATCTATTTTCTATTGTGCGAGAATCAACGTTTTCTAGAGACTTGGGTGTTTTTTGTATTATTATTATTGTATTTTTTTTTGTTTTGTTTTTTTCTAACCACGCACTCCCCACGCCTGACTCCGCGCGCTGGGACGCACCTCGGGCATTTCTCAGCCACGTGGCAGCTCGGTGAGCACTGCCAGAGCCCTGCAGCCACTGCAGGCCAGCCCCTGCCTCCCCATCCCATGCTCCGTGTGCCCACAGCGATGGCAGGGGCTGAGGCCACAGGCTGCGGGTGCCGCAGAGCTCCGCAGCGAATGAAATACGTGATTGTCACTTTTTAAATAAATCTGTTCTTGATAAGCCACTGGGCTCTGTGATCTCATTCGGGGCCATCCTGCCCTGGACTGGAGCATTCCAAGGTATAGAAGCAGCTCCAGGGCGCAGCAGGCTGTGCGGTAGGCAGATATTTATTGGTGTAGAGAGGAGGGGGGGGGGTCACAGGAGAACAGACACTCAGAGGTGACCGCAGCACAAAGCCAGGATGGAGCTGCTGCTGCTGGGAGCACCAGGCGTGTGTTCCCCACCAGCACCCCCCCCCAGCTGTGGACAGGACTCCAGCTCTGCCCTGGGCCCGGGCCCACAGGGCGATGCAGTGCACAGCACCATCCCAACAGCTGGGGAGGACGGGGAGCTCCAAGCCACAAGCGTTTGCAGGGAGAAAGAAGCTCAGCTGGCTCCCAGAGCCATTCCAAGCTCCAGCAGCTGATAGAGGAGCTTTTGAGGACACCAGCACTGGTGTGAACGCTGCTGGAGCTGGAGGAGCACTGCACATGTGCTCTGGCTCTGCCCTGGTGTTCCCACAGGCTCCGTCCCAGCTCTGGCTGGGGCTGCTCGGTCGCTCCCACAACAGGGTTTTGCTACGGGGATGCAGGGATTACACAGCAGCACTGGCTACGCTACAAGTTACATTCAAACTAAACCTCACAGGGACAACACGGAGGAGGAAGCGTGCTCAGAGCCCTGACAGCAAGGACTGCTGGTTGGGGCAGAGCTGCCGTGCTCCTTGCAGTGCTGGGAGGCAGCGAGCCCCAGGCTCGGCCAGGGGAAGTGCATACAGCAGATGAGTACAGTAACACAGGTACTATAGGTACACAACAGGAGGCGTCCCTCCCGCTGCACAGGGCCAAGCCTGTGCCACCAGCCCCTCTGGACCCCTCACTGCACACACAATCTAACTTCAGCTTGAGAATAATTTAACTAGCAACTGTACAGTTCCTCCCCTTGAGCCAGTTCAACACCCCTGGAGTCTAGGCAAGGGGTAACTCAGGGAGCACGTGGAAGAGAGGCAAGGGTCCCTCCGGGCTCCAGGGGTCGGACAGGAGCAGAGCAGGGTTAGAAGATGGGAATGTAGTTGTCAATCTTGGTCCTGTGCCTCTGGGCGATGCACTCTGCGATCCACACGATGTTGCGGCACTCCTGCTCCTTCAGCTTCACAAAGGCATAGAAGACTCCAAAGTGGAACTGATTGAGGAATGCCAGCTTGTTCAGCTTCACCTGGGAAGACATGGCACCTGTCCACCTCTGCTGGACTGTCCTCTGCCAGAAGCCAGCCCAGGGAAGGATGGAGCAGCACTGACTTCCCCAGAAGGCTCAGGGCTCAACCAGGAGGGGTCTGACACACAGAGGAGGAATTTATACCCTCACATGCTGTGAGAACCGGCCTTTCCCCCATAATTACACTCTGCTTTCACTTTCGGTGGACCTAGCAGCAGCCTACAGGCACACTGCTGTAAGCTTCTGGGTGACGAGGACTGAGCCTCATTCCCTCCTTGGAGCACATGGCTAGCATCCTCTTCCTTCCCTCAAACTATTCTTGCAAAGCACTGATATTCTGGAGCTCTACCACCAGGGCAGCAGCCAAGCCTGCTGCTTCCTTGAGTTTTTCAGAGGGCAAAGGCAGACACAATTGCTGGGAAGTGTCTCAGGGCTAACTCACCTCATGCTCAAAGAACCTGTCTTCAAGGGTCTTGTCTCCAGGGTTGCTGCCAGCCCCTTCAAACAGCAGCTTGTACTCCTGAGGGAAGATGGTACAAAAAGATATATCCACACCCTGGTACCCTCCGAGCTCAGCAGCACTCCTGGGCCCCCATGCACCAGAAACAGCAACAAGACTGGGTCAGCAGAGAGCTGCCCTGTGCACACACACGAGCACTGGCACGTGTTGCTTCAGCACAGAGACACCAAGCTCTCCGACTCCAAGCAGCGTAAGACAAGCAGTCCCTTCCTCATGCTGCCTACTCCTGAGCTCCCCCAGCCCCAATGCACAGCAGATCCTGGTGCCAGCCCCCTGTGCCCTCACCCCAAAGCACTCACAGGGTAGTAGTCGGCGACATTTTTGACTTGCTCGTAGTCATCTGCTCTGGCTAACTGAGCCAGCCCCTCGGGGTAGAGCTTGCCACAGTGTGGGAACAGCTTTGCTCGGTCCTCCTTGGACAGCTCAGTGCCAAAGGAATTGATGGTGATGATGAAGGCCCTCCGGTCAGCTTCAAACTGTGGGAGAAAAGAGAGTTTCACCTCAGACTGCAGTGAGAGCAGCAGACACCGGTGCTGCTCTGAACAGAGCCACATCAGAGGGCAGCGTGAGCAAGCCTGGCTCACTGCCTGGGATGCACAGCTCTACATGTGTGGGCTCCTTGTACAGCTGATGCCCGGGGACTGCTGGGCTGAGGAAATCCCTGCTTTGGGAACAAACCAAAGCGCTGAGCGGAGCTCCGGGAGTGATTTTCTCCCACCTACTGCCCTCGAGCCCAGCACACCCACCAGCTGGCCTTGGCACACTGACCGGCCACGCGCAGAACGGTGCTGGAAGTTCTCCTGCTTGTTGGATGGAGGTTGCCAAGATGAGGTGACCAAGCCTGCCCAAAGTCACGTGCAGACAGCGTTCTCCTAGGTCAGGCTGCAGTGGGATGCTGACAAGGATCACCCTTAGTGCTGGCAGACAGCATCACAGAGCAATGGGTGCCCCTGCAGGGTGTTCCAGACCTACCTCCAGGATGGGGCACATGGCGTCTGCTGTGGTACCTCCCAGCGCCTTGCAGAACTTGTAGAAGGACTCCAGGTATGCCTGGAAGACAGAGAGGAATGAGCACGTTTCCACACTGCTTCATTTACCACTCGCAGGCCCGTTCAGACAGCAAGCAGGGACGCTCCCAGACACTTTATAACACAGCACAGGCACTCTCACCCCAAGTGAACTTGGATGCCAAGCCCACACAAGGGACAGTGCTTCCCCAGGAGCCGGAGACATGAAGAGCTGTGGTTTGCTTGGTTCAAGGGACTGGATGAGCTTACAGCAGGCAGAACACCAGGCACCAACATTCAAGCCTATTTTGCTCCTTCGAGTGGTCTAACTCCAAAGCATCCGCTCGAGTCTCACATGGTTTCCTGACCCTGCTCTGGCCTCTACAAACATGCCAAGCCACACAACCATAGCTGCAAGACCCAAGCTCAGAAAGGAGCGCTGTGTAAGCAGAGTTGAGAGATGAGACGGGACATCTGTGAAGGAAACCAGCCGTCCTCTGTAATTCTCTTCTCACACTGCAGCCGCCGGGTCTCCATCCCAACTGGAGCACTGCAGAAAGTATCAAGCTAGGCACAGCCATGCTGCCTCCAGGAAACGTAATCCTTTGTGGAGAGGTACCAGAATCCAGCTGGAGGATGACTGCATCCCCCAAGGGGAGCCGTGGATGCAGCACAAGGCTAAAAGTGCTGTTCAGCAAAAAACTTGCTCAGAGGAGACCATCATGTGATAAAACACCTCCCCAGACAGAGCGCTGCAGACAGAACCGCGCAAAGGGGTGGAAAAACAACGATGCTGAGACACCACAAATCTCTGCCCTGTCACAAGATGGACCACATCCTCGGCCTCCGCTCTAGGAATGCACCTGGATGAGTGTGTTCTGTAAATACAGTGCCAAAGGGCACAGCTGGGCCAGCACCACGCATCAAGAGACACCATGGCCAGAAGGCTGGAAATCCTCTTTGCCACTGCTGGAGCACAGAGAAGAGCAGAGCACTGGCCTGAAGGAAAGGAAGGCACAGACACTGAACTTTGCCTGAGGCTGGGTGAGAGGCTCGCTCACCACTTTCTGCCTTTCTCAGAGTTCACATGCAAACCTCAGGCCCTGCAAATAGAGGAGGTGTGCTCAGACATCCAGCACTTCATGAGGACCCAGCAGCACAGACACCATGCAGACTGCAGGACAGCCCTGCTGGGTGCCCTCCCTGGGGCCCCTCACAGATGACAGCAATTTACAGGAAGCTCTCCAGAGTCCCGAACCCTGTATCCCTGAAATGGTGGTGTGCTCACATTTAATAGTCCTTAATGGACTTTCACTTCCATGACGCAATTCAATTACCCTCTGCCTTCTGCTAGTCTTGTTTGTGCTTCACATCCAGGCTGATCTGTGGCCTGTCCATCCTCGTTGTCTTGTTCAACATTACCATCACAGTTCACTTCTCTTCCAGCTGAGGAATCCCAAACCTTCTTTCTGGTTTCCCCCATGGAAGCATCTAAACCTTTACAGTGCCCTTCTTAGCAGCTTCTCCTGTTCTGCTGTTTGCATTCTGAGATGAGAGAGAGGAACTGGACCATGAAAAGGTGCAGTGTGCAGCACAAACACGCCGCAGATGTAGGCAGCGGCACAGGGCTGTTTGTGCAGTTCTCACTGTGAAGAGCCAACTGCTCACAACCCAACATTTAATGTAGCAGTAGCAGCAGGGAATAAGGAGAGCTTCATAAGATCACCTCTTCGTGCCTCCCATGCATCGCTTCACATTTATCCACAGCGATCTCTGTGCTGTATTTTAGTGTCCAGCCACAAAGTTCCTCCAGCAGGTTCCTATAGGCAGGCTGCCAGCAAAGGCCAGCAGCCAGCCAGCTGCGTTCCAGCACATCCACTCCAAGATGGGAAAACACGGAAGAAAGTAGTGAAAATGATGATGCCAGCGTGCCTCCGCTGCTGACCTCCCTCTGCTCTAAGAGCTGACCACTTCACTTCTAACTCCTGCTCCCTTCTTTCAGCACATTTCCACTCAAGAACCTCCCCAGGGGTTGAATACCAGTGAGAGCCAGTCTCAGAGCACTGAGAGGCAGACATTCAGTTTGGGGGCAGCAAAAGCAGAATGTAAAGGAGCATCCAGCCTCCGCAAGGAGATGGGCAAGGTAGCGGCAGCTGGGACCCAAGGTGAAGGCACCCACCAAGCTGCCTGCTGCATGCTCACTCTGCTCCCAGCCTTTCCCCAGCTCCATACAGCGAGCTGCAAGCTGCAAGGGTGCAGGTATTTATGCGTGCCAGCATACCT